GACAAACCACATGTAGACTATGGCAGACTTTGGAAGTCCCTCTTTTGAAGTCTCAGATAGGAATGGGGAGCCTGACATTAGACTGGAGAAAAGGCAATCTTTGTTATACAGCAATAAAGAAGTTGATTGATTCGAACTTATTTCTTGTCTATTGTAAAATATGGTTTGGATTAAGAAGAACCAGAGCCTGAAGATTTGGGAAATTCTCATATTACAAAAGGTCTCTCTCGGGGCTGGGAAGGTGGCTCAGTGGTAGAGTGCTTGCCTTGCCCTGGGTTCAATTCCTCAGCACCAGATAAGCAGAAAAAGCCAGAAGTGGCACTGTGGCTCAAGAGGTAGAGGGTTAACCTTGAGCTGAAGAGCTGAGGAACAGCGCCCAGGCCCAGAGTTCAAGCCCCAGGACTGGCAAAAAAAAAGTCAAGTGACAAGATATGTATAAATTGTTAATATTGTATTATCATAACAAATCCATGAGATAAGTCAACAGCAGAGCAAATAGCAGAAGTAGCTAGCTTACTCGAGTAGTTAAAGTTAGCAATGGAAATACCTAATTTACTAGTGAAAAGGGAGACAGGAGAAAAGACTTTTATTCAAGACTAAATAGATTTCATTAGGAAAGATAAATAAGTGGGCTTTGAGGAGCACAAAGGGAAATAAGAGAGTTTCTAATAATGCATTTCTAATTATTCTAATTTCTAATTATGCTGGAGGAAGTTTTTGCATCTTGTTCTCAGAAGGGATTAGGATAGGTTTATTCTTAGTTTTCTTCTTCGGAGTAGATCTGCTTGGAACAAAAAATTATGGAAAATTGCAAGGGGAGTTCTGAGAAGATATCATTCTGCATTCATTGAAATTATAAAAACTACTGCCTGGATAAATACAGTCAATGTCCTATCACCCCAGCACGCATGTGCGTGCACACACACACACACACACACACACACACACACACACACACACACACACACAATTTGGAAGGTTTTTAAGGCTCTGTTGGCTCGTGCCTGTAATCCTAACTACTAACCAGTGTTCTAACCAGGAGGCTGAGATTTGAAGACTACAGTTCAAAGCCAGCCTGGGCAGGAAAGTCCCTATGAGACTATTATTTCCAATTAACTGCTGAAAACTGGACATGGAGCTGTGGCTCAAGTGGTAAAATGACAGCCTTGTTTGATGACACTTGAGATGACCCATACCAATCTTGTCCAGGCAATCATTACTCATTTTTTATAACTAGGTTGTCTTCCAAGGTTTTAACTTTGTCTTGCAATTCACCTGGAATAGAAACCTGAAACCCCCAATACTTTGAGCACTATTGTGCAAGACACCTCACTTTACTCTTCTTTCCCACCCAAGAGGTGAAGATGGAAATGCACAGCTCACATACGTCCAGCAAACATACTCTCCCAGCTGAGTTATCTCTATCTTTAAAATACCTTTGTATTTTAAAAAATCCAAACAGCCATGATTCAGCTTTGCTGATTTATTATCACAGTCAGTCTTTAAATACAATACAGCTAGATTTTAATCTCTTCTTTCAACTCATTTCATTTCTTCCCTGGAGTCCAAATGAGAAGAAGACTACAAAAATAACGATGGCACAAGCTGGGCATTGGTGACTCACACCTGTAATCCTAGCTCCTTAGGAGGCTGAGATCTGAAGATTATGGTTTGAAAGCCAGCCGGGCAGGAAAGTCTCTGATACTCTTGTCGTCAATTAGCCACCAGAAAACTGCAAGTGGCACTGTGGCTCAAAGTGGTAGAACATTGGCCTTGAGTGAAAAAGCTTAGAGACAGCACCCAGGCCCTGAGTTCAAGCCCCACAACCACCATCACCAACAAACAACAACTATGGCACCGAGTATGGAGGGCAGAGACAAGCAGATACCAAGATACCTTCCATCAATCATAGCCATCTCCTCACTGCTCAGCCCTTTCCAATCCTGCCCCAAGTCTCCAGTTATTGTGATCCTCATAATATTTTTCAGCTCAAAACCCAAAAATTTTATCCTATTTTATTCAGAACTAAATTCATAATTCTTACAATTGACTCCAGATCTGGATCTCTATGTCATCTTTGAGTTCAGATCTCATCCTTCTATGGCAACATGGAGATCCAGCCCAACCCATCCTGACTGGGAAGTTTCTGGCCAGGCTGCTAATGGCTCAGAGCCTTTTTCATAGGTTTCTTGACTCTCTGTCCTGCCTGTAAAGTCTCTATTCCTTGCAATTTGCCAAAGGAGAAGGAACCACATTTCTGTTTCATTGACAGCCCTATCTGCCTTCCAAATGCTCTACTCTTGTTTTTCTTTCTGGCACTGAAACCATCACACACACACACACACACACACACTCTCTCTCTCTCTCTCTCTCTTACTTTGTTGTTTATCTACTAGGGGCAGCAATTCCTTTTTGGCCCTTGCTTTATTTATTTTGTGAGTTTTCCTTGAAGCTCCGACTAGTGCTCTAACCAGAGTTAATGTAAATAAATGACAATTCTTTTTCATGTGGGCTCCATAACATTTCATAGAGCAGCTGCAGGCCAAGTCCATCTTTGTTGTTGTTGTTTGTATGGTACTACTCCAAGGGCCTGAACTTAGGGCCTGGGTGGTGTCCTTGAGCTTTTTCTGCTCAAGACTAGCACTGAACCACTTAAATTACACCTCCACTTCAGGCTTTTGGGTAGTTAATTAGAGAGAAGAGTCTCACATATTTTCCTGTCCTAGCTGGCTTTGAGCCAGCCTCCTGAATAGGTAAAATTAAGATCCATGAGCCACCAGCACCAGTTACTTGCTTTCAAAAGTTATGGGTCTTTTCCTATTCGCAGGTAGCTAAGCCTGTCTGGTTTGTGTCCACATCTGCACCAATCAAATGATCAAAGAACTTCTTTTCTTTTTTTGCATTTTAATAATGAATTTATTAAGCCACAGGAGCAGCGTGTGCAGGCATACAGTCATGGCTCTTCATGTTGTATAATAAAAATATGAGAATGAAATGAAGAGTTTTAAGCTTCTTTCTGCTGGTATTCCCTGATAGTGCAATGCCATCATTTTTGTAATGCTAGAATAAATTTTAGAAGTGTTTTCTATGCTTCTCTTCAAAAAATGATGAGTAATAACAGGAGATGGCATTTAAAAAGCCATTTTCTTCCTACTTACTTTTTAGTATTAGAACCAGCATTTTTACTGTCACAGCCTACAATTTCCACTTTATCCACTTTAATAAGCTCTATCACATCTCTGAATTCAACACCATTCAATACAAAAGCCCACACACATCATCACAGATCTGTGTGTATTTGGAGAGCCCCTGAAATTGACTCTGTTCCGGGCCCTCTGAGCCAATGCTGAATCAATAGCCTTATCAAACTGAAGTAGAAAAAAAACAAACCACCTTGGAGGACAAGTTAGGGAATGAACTGTTGAGATGCAAGAGCTCATCTAGGCTCTCCTGAAGACTTTTGCCCCATGTGGTATTTCTAGATAACTGATATGCTATGGCCTAAGAAGAAGAAACTATTTTTTTCTTCAGGCTAGCATAGATGTTTACTCCCTGAGGGAGAGGGCATTTCCCAAGCAGATGGTCGGTCTCAGATCTGAAAGGAATGGAGTTGTCATGGATGGGGTGAAGGCACATACTCTGCCTGCCATATCTTCACCTGACACAGAAACCAAGGAGCTAGACTAGTGGCCCACAAGTCCAAAGGATTTATTTTAATACCAATTCAGTCAACTAGAAGGTTGTTGTAGTAAGTAGATTCTTCATCTGCTTACTGTTTCAGTGATACTTGATGCCCTTCTAATTTGTACACAAGGAACCTGCCTGGCTGTCCCTTCTATTCTCATTCCATTCTCCATGCAGCTACCACCTCTTAAAGGCTCAGAGAATAGAAGGGAGAGTTATCAGCCTGGGGGAAGGCACAGTCAACACTCTAACTTTATACCAATTATAGGAAGTAAAACTCTGCAGTGAAAAAGAAAAGAAAAGAAATTCTAGACATGGAGATTGACAGGTTGGATAGAAACCTAGTTGAGGTTTTCACTCTAGCAGTGGTTATTTGTATTTGTTTTTTTCTGTTGTCCTGGTCTCTGCATGCAACACTATGTATCTTAGTTGTTTAAATATATTTTTTCTCCCTTCAGGTTTTTTTCCCCATCCAACCCCTCACCCCCTTTTTTTTCACAAGAAGTATTCGTGTCCATTTGTACATTTCTTTTCCATTTGTGGGCTCAACTGTGACAGAGTTCTAATAGAGATAGATACACCAGCATTTAGATGAGGTATAGAAAGAAGCCTTCCATTTCTCAGTCACTCAGGCTTTGGGTTTCCCTTTGACATGTCCCCCAAGAGGAGAGCCAAAACTATAAGCAGGCACACTAAGCCCCTTCCTTCTGCAGCAGTGACCTCCCCCACCTTCTCTCTCTTCTGGCCCCCGGGAGGCTGTGTGTGCAAGGATGTATGTGTGCCTGTCTTGGGGCTTGAACTAGAGCCTGGGTGCTCAATGCTGGTGCTCTACCATTTGAGCCATAGCTCCACTTCTGGCTTTTTGCTCGTTTATTGGAGATGAGAGTCTCACAGACCTTCTTGCCTGGCTTTGAACTTGGATCCTCAGATCTCAACCCTCTGCAGAGCTAGGATTACAGGCCTGAGCCTGCGGCACCATGCTGATCCTGCATCTTTGAAAACCTTCCTGGGCCTTCCTGTGGTTAAGGGGTGACAAGATGATGTCCCTGAGAAGAGGAGACCCCGCAGCTCGCCAAGCTGTGGAACCCCTCCTGCCCCTTAGGGCGCACTCACCCCCTGGGCTCGGATCCTGCGCCTAGGAACTCCCCCCCTCCCAGACACCCCCCCACCCACCCGTACCCTCCGAGCTCCGGGAACCCTGCGCTAGCGGCGGTCGGGCGCGCGCCTCCGTGGCGGCCGGGCACGCGCAGGGCTCGGGCGCGCGTCTGGGCGGCCGAGGGCGGTGCGTCTGCCAGTCACCGGCTGGATCGCGCCGGGCTCGCTGCTCCGAGTCCGCCCGCCTGTCTATCGCGCCGGGAACCCGGCCCCACCCCGCCCCGGCCACCCGGCTAGCCGCCTCCAGGGGAGGACGCGCAGGAGCCATGGGCCGCTGGCCCCGGAGGGCGGCGGCGCTGTTGCTGGGGCTGCTGGTGAAGGTAGGAGTCGCGCCGCTGCCGGCGCCGCCGCCAACAATGCGGGGAGCCCCGGGGAAGCCGATCCGAGCTCCCGGCCCCCCGAGAGCAGCCGCGATCCCCCAGACCCCGCGTGTGTCTCCCTGGGAGGAGCCGCCGGCCCACGGGTCCGCGCGTGTCCGGCGAGGGAAGGCGTCGGACCCCGGCGGCCGGGGGGCCCCCTCCTCCCCGAGCTTCCTCTTCCCCGCCCACCCTCGCCGGGCAGCCCCTGGCCCCCTGCGCCGCGCCCGGCAGTGACCTTTGTGCTGCCCGGGACCGGAGATCCCAGTTCAGGGTCCCCAGAAGCGGTCCCGGCACTAAGGGCCGGAGCGCGAAGCCCGTCCGGCTGGGGTAGACCGCGGGCGGCTTCGGAGGGAGGCGAGGTTCTGGAGGCGGAGGGGGAAGTGAGAAACGTAAGGGACGACTGAGAAATTGCCAAGATGGACGAACACGGTCCTGCTTCGGAGAAGGAAGCGCAGTCCTTGACGTGCCACCCGAGTCTCCGAGGAGCGCGGGGAGTGGGTGCGCAGCGCCGGCGCCGGAGCCCGGGGCTGGCCGGGGTGGGCACCGCCGCGCTCGGCGGCTGCAGAAGTTCCATCCATCCCCGCCAGCCGGCCACCCGTGCGGGCGAGAGCATCTCCAGCCTGGCGCTTCCGTACTCAGCTTCATTCTGGGGGGAAAAGATTCTGAGTGGAGTCAGGGTCAGTGGGCAATGATTAACTTACCATCTCCGCCCCTCTGCTTTGGAGACTTGCTTAAGAAACAAAACAAAACTCCCTTAACTGAGGAGTGCAGATGGACTGATTCCCTGTTCTCCAGGTATTAAAAAGCAATTGCTAGTCATTGCTGGAGAAGCCTGGCGCTGGTGGCGCACTCTTGTAATCCTAGCTACTCCGGAGGCTGAGATCTGAGGGTCGAAGTTAGAAGATGAGGAAGACATAGCCAAGAGACTCTCGTCTCCAAGGAATCACCAAAAGCTGGCAGTAGAGTTGTGGGTTAGGTGGTAGAGCACCAGCCTAGAGCAGATAAAGCTAGGGTACAGTGCCCAGGACCTGAGTGTAAGCCCCAGTACCAGCACACACGTACCAAAGGAAAAAAAATGTTGAAGAAAATCTTAGTGTTTTCTCTCCCTCTTCCCCACTCCCCCCATTGATGCTGGTGATGACCCTGGCTGTGAACATGCTGGACATGTACTGTGCTACCAAGCAACATCCAGCCTCTTGTTATTTTATTTTGAATTTTATTTTATCTTTTTTTTTTTTTTTCTCTCTGCTGGGCCTCTTGTATACTGATCAAGCGCCCTACCTCTGAGCCACATCCCAGCCTTAAAAAATGTTTTAATTGTGTGGAATCAGATGTTGATGGAAAAGGGCTGGGAAGGTGGCTCAGTGGTAGAGTACTTGCTTTTGCATGCATGAGGCCTTGGGTTCAATTCCTCAACACTGCATAAGCAGAAAAAGCCGGAAGTGGTGCTGTGGCTCAAGTGGTAGAGCGCTAGCCTTGAGCTGAAGAGTTGAGGGACAGTGCCCAGGCTCAAAGTTCAGGCCCCATGACCACCTCCCCACCCCCCCCCCCCCCCCACACAGAAGAAGTTGATGGAAAAGTTTCTCTTTGCTCAAGGTGCCATCATAGCAAAGGTTTCCTGTTTCTTTTCAAAATGTTCTCCTTGATTGATATTTAATGTGGGTTTTTTGTTTTATTTTGGTAAAGGTGATACACAGAGATGGGTTTTTTTTTAAGTGCTTCAACACTTGCGTTCTTGTCATTTGTTCAGATTTCTAAAACCTTATGAATCACATCCCTTCCATGACACTTAGAGCAGTGAAGTGAATCATAGGTTGTTATTTATATAAAAACAATCCTGTGGGGCTGCTTGCTAATGGCTCACATCTGAAATCCTAGATAATGAGGAGGCTGAGATCTGAGGATCACATCCAGTCTGGGCTGATAACTAGCAAAAAGTTGGATGGTAGAACACCACCTTGAGCAGAAAAAGCTAAGGGACAATGCTAGGCCCTGGGTTCAAACCCTAGAACAACAACAACAACAAAAAATGCCTATTTTCTCAGAGAGTACCTGCAGAATGTTTATCTTGTGCTGGGAACTGTCGTAAGTCCTTTAAAAACCTTAACTCATTAATCTACTTAGCAAATCCTTCTGTCCCTGTTGTTATTTCTAGTGGGAGGTTTTTAATAACTTGTCACCAGCCTGACTGCTGTAAAGTGAGGTGGTGCTGGGATGTAAACTCAAGCAAACTTCCTCTCCAAAATGGGCCCATATTTCAGGTAGGGAGGGAATTTGGACATTGCTATCCCTAGGCAGGGGTAGACTTGAGGAAGTCTGGTTTTGCTGGTCTCCCTGGAGAAACTCTACTCCTTGTTAGAGGGCCCATCTAATTTAGCACTCAAAGTATAATGCATGGGAAAGTTAAGTTGAATGTGTGCCTGACAGTAGATACCAAGGGATCTTGGGAAACTTGTGTTTTCTTAATCCCTAAAGCCCAGACCGCAATCTTAAAGGAACAGCACAGTTCCTCTTGAAGTGCATTACAAGGGACCTGAGCCACAAATATGGGAAGCTGGCCGCAGGCTCTGATTCCCATGAGTTAGAAGAAGCCTAAAGCCCTTTTTGAGTCATAAAATTCATTCATTTATTATTATTTGTGCCATGAGGGAGGCTTGAATGCAGGGCTTTGCGCTCTTGCTCAGCTGGTTTGTTCCCAGCTTGTGCTCTACTACTTGAGCCATGTCTTCACTTCAGGCTTTTTGATATGTCATTGGAGGTAAGAGTCTCACAGATTGGTTTGCCCAAGCTAGGTTGAAATCTCCATGTTCTGATCGCAGCCTCCTCAGTAGCCACGGTTATTTAGACTATAGGTCTATAACCTCAAGCCTGGCTTGAGTCATACCATTTTAAAGTTCAGTTCTTCTGTTCTGCCAGTTTGGCTGATGACAAGTCCCATAAACAGTCCTTACAGGAAGCTAGCTCCTAGAGGTCCTGGAGGAGTAATTCCCAGTGGCCTTCACTAAGCCACAGCAGAAAATTAAAAACAACCAACGGGAAAAAGCAAAACAAACAGCACATATACCCTCCCTCCAAACAAAAACAAAACGGAACTCCAGATTGCACTTTGGTTGAAATTGAAGACTAATTAGATCCTGAGCATTTGGAGCTTCCACCATCTCCCCAGGGTCTTTTCCTCCCAGCATGTAGTTTTCTAAATGTCTTCATTGAAGTCTCTTTCTAGGGGCTAGGTTGTAGACTTTCGAAAGTACTAGTCCTGCTGAGAAAGGCTTTATTCTACTGGAATAAACCTAGACATTTTTATGTTGCCATATTATTTTCCTTTTATAATACTCGGGCTTGAGTGGAGTGCCTCAATGCTTGGCTAAACAAATGCCCTGACACTTCTAGTTTGCTTTGGTATTTTGTCTTAAGTAGCATCTCACGTTTTTCCTCTAGCTGATTTTCTGACCTTTGCCTCCAGAAAAGTTTGGATTGAAGGCATTCATTTGAAGGCATTAATTACTATGCTTACATTTTTTTTAAAAAACAGGTGTCACTGTTTTTTTTTTTGCTCAGGGTAACCTCTTTCAGAAACCTGTGTGTGCTACCACTTTAAGCGAGTGCCTTGTGTTTTCTACAAAAGCCACCCTTACTGGACTGGAAAAGGGGTAGTCACTATAGAAGAGAGAACTAGAAAATGGGCACTATATTTTTTTTTTCGTGGGGCTTGAACTCTGGACCTGGGCACTGTCCCTCAGCTCTTCAGCTCAAGGCCACTGGTCTACCACTTGAGCCACAGAGTCACTTCTGGTTTTGTGAGTGGTTTATTGGAGATAAGAGTCTCACAGACTTTCCTGCTTGGGCTGGCTTTGAACTGCCATCCTCAAATCTCAGCCTCCTGAGTAGCTAGGATTACAGGCATGAGCCACCGGCGCCCAGCAGCTCTTTTATTTGTGTGTCAGCATTGAGGCTTGAGCATGGGGCCTGGGCTTTGTCTCTTAGGTGTTTTGCTCAAAGGGGAGTGCTCTACCATTATGAGCCACAGGTTCACTTCTGGCTCTTTGGTGATAAACCGGAGCTAAGAGTCTCACAAACGTTCCTACTCAGGCTGGCTTCAAATTGAGATCCTTAGATCTCAGCCTCCTGAGTAGCTAGGATTACAGGCATGAGCCACCATTGCCCAGCTGAACATTGCCTTTTGAAACTAGGAAAAATAAGACAGCCTGTGTATTTTGATACCAAGGAATCTAAAAATTAGAACCAAATTCTGTTTAAGACTATGCTTACTTGCTTGTTTTCTGGCTTCCTTTCTTTCTTTCCTTCTTCCCTCTCTCTATCCTCCCTCCCTCCTTCTCTCCTTCCCTCCTTTCCTTCTTTTCTTTTGTCTTGCCAAGTTTTTCATGCTCTAGAATTCCAACAAATGTGGCAGCCCTTGGCTGCCAAGTTTCTGAAATAAGCCTTTTCATCCCTCCTACTCTTAGAGTTTTTAGAATCTGTACAATCTGAATGAAAAAGAAGCCTGAGGAGATTTATCTCAGGAAGCAGCAAGGAGGCTTGGCACCCATGGGTGAGAAGTGGCAGTGACAAATGAATTAATTGAAACACAAGGCAAGGGCATCTTTCTTAAGTGCAGAAAGCTGGTGGCCAGGTGTTTAGGAAATGCTTGGAGGTTCATGAAGAGCCAGGGGTCTACTGAGTCTTTGCTTTCATTTAGCTTGTGCAGATGAAGTCTAACTGGGCCGAAGCAACTCCAGAAATACAGAGGAAGGACAGGACTGGAGTAACAATCACTTTTAGTCCCAGGATGCAACTAACTTTTGTAGAACCTTCTTTTATTACGTAGTATGGATCAACATTTTCAAATGTCTCGGTGAGGCCCACATTGAAACTATTTAAACTTTCTGGACCAGCTCCTTTCCCAGCCTACCTAACTCTGATCAACTAATTTCTTCCCTTCCCAAATTCACAGTATCTATCAC